CGCACAGCTGTGGGACCTGTTGGAGCAGAATATGGAGTGTGCTGACCCTTTGAATCCGAATAGCATATCACAGTGGACCGCGAACACAATTAGCGAAGGAACAAAGACTGGCAAAGGAAAACTTATCCGGGTACGTAACCCGTTCCATATGTACGAGGACCATTGGGTGCTGTGAACATACCCTTCACGATTAGGCTGCGATGAACATCCGACTAGTCTGCAGCTCGCAACACTACTGGCATCACGGTCTGAATTTAAAATTAAATCCAAGTTTAAAACGCACAACATCCAGTACGAGTACATATTTGTTTATTTCTTGTTCTGTTCTATTTTTGATTTGTTGTAATGATGTTTGTTTTACTTTTTTTCTAATAAATCTGATTTGTTACGTGTACTAAATCCAACTGTCCAAAAATATCAGCTATGGATCTAGTCTCTAGAGCTTGTCATAATGCTGCTATGGATGCAGCAGTCAAGTCATGTCAGGAGGGAATTTTATCGCAGGCTTCTGCCGCAAAGGTCTACAGAGTTAATCGCACGACACTAGGAAGACGACTGAAAGGAATTGTGCCTCAACAGAATGGGCAATGGCAGCGGATATTTACTGATCCTGAGGAGAACTTCATTGCGGACACCATGCTGCGCTGTGCAAGGCTTGGAGTGCCTCTAAATAAACCGATGTTAAAACGGATTATTCCTCCACTGTTGAGAGAAAAAGGTAAAATGCTTTAAAATAATGCTTTTGGCGCCGATAAAATTGCAGTATCGTAAAGAAAAAAAATTCCATTATTTGGCTCTTGTTCACGCATCACACGTTTGTAGGTTTTGCCGTCGAGAAACAACGTTTTACGGAGGATTGGCACTATGGCTTTTTAAAGCGTCACCCAGAAATTAAACAGCGCATTTCTCACAGTGCAAACCGGAAAAAATCACGTGAATGGACCGTAAAAAACCGCCAAGGATGGCTTAAGAAGCTGAGCGAGCTGCACATGAGCGGATACCTGGAGGACCCTCGCGGTGTCTGGAATTTTGATGAGTCTGCATTTCAAGTGGCAGAGCGAGTTACTTCGGTTTATGCAAGAAAAGGGACAAAAGATGTACTCTCTTATTTTGATGGTAACGACAGAGAGCTGGTTACTGTTCTGGCTGGCGGAAACGCTGCGGGAGAGATTATGAGACCGTTAATTCTGTTCGATGGCAAGGTGATGATGGCTTCTCGACTGGACGGAACCGATGATCGCTGTTATGTCGGGGTTAACAATTCAGGGATTATGGACACGGAGACATTTGTTAATTACCTTCGACGCGTAGTCATTCCTGCCATGACAGCGGAAAAGGTAATTCAGAAACATCACGGTAATAAAAGAACTCACAAGCATAAACATTATTATACAACTAATAATAATGACGTTATTTAGTATTATTATTATAAGACCCATAATAGTTAAATTGATTATTTTTAATTTCTGCGTAGCCAATGGCACAGTGCAGATAAATAAATAAGTATTAAAATTATCATTTGTAGAACGTTATCTTCTTGGATGGCCATAGTTCCCATATGCTGAACGATGAATTCATTCACGAGTGTTTGATGTCGGAAAAAGATATTACCGTAGTGATTTTTCCCTCTGGACAGACTGATAAACTGCAGCCCATGGACATTAAAGTTTTCGGGCCAGTTAAGAAGTACTGGCGGGATTACTTGCGACTGCAGCCACTCTTATTGGACGAAGCGGTAAAAACTTTAACATTTAGTGGTAATGTGCCCGTGAGTATAATTTCCATTTAAAATACAGATATCCAAGCAGAATTTTGCGAAACACTTGATGGCAAAATGGAACGATTTCAACATGCCGTCAAATATAATTTCCGGTTTCAAAGCATCGGGGATTTTTCCATATAATCCAGAGAACGTGTGTCGCGCTGTGGATGAGCCCACCAATGATGTAAACCCCGAAACATTACAGCAGGACCAACCTGAACTGTTAACCTTTCGCGAAGTTTATGCAAACGAATTGATGGAACTCAAACAGTTTGTTCGCGTGAAATTTCATGCGCCTAATTCTACGGCTGAAGAAATCGCAGAAATCCTTGTTGATAAGATGGAAGGGTTTAAGCCAACTGTGGCGCCTGGTAACATTGCCCAAGGATTTTTCGACCGTCTGACAGAGCTCCACCCTCGAAAGGAAAAAAGACCCACTGACCAACGTTTGCGGATGGATAGCGGAGCGATTATCACGAGCTCAGAGTTTCAGAAAGCGCGTGCCGAACATCAGCAAAAACGCCAGAAAGTTCCACAGAAATCTAATGGCCGTGCTGTGTTGGGCAATCTTACGAATACGCCAACAAAAGTTACCAAACGGACTTTCAAAAAACGCAAAATTTAACTGAAAACGTATTATGTGCAAATTTTTGTGTTGTACTCGTTCGGGCTAATAATAGGTATTTTGTTCTGTGACTTGAAATTGTGAAGCACTATGATCTTCTAAAATGTGGTTTGAAGATCCAATAATTTTTTTCTGAACCGTAATTTGTCGAAATAGACGGTAAAAACAGTTTAGAATAACATTTTTACCAAAATAAAATTTTCTGTAAAGTCAGTTCCCGGGTGTTCATCGCAGCCTAAACGTGAAGGGTATGTTCACAGCACCCAATGGTCCTCGTATATAAAGAAGTTGCAGATTTACTGGAAATCGCATTTCACTTGCACAAAGAACACGGAATCGTTCCCCCTTTTTCCATTTTGATAATTAAAAAACTATTTCGATTGCAGTTTGATAGTAATAAAAATTTAGGTCACTTTTATGCGCCAGGAAATTTCCTGGCGCTTAGCACTTTCGCAAAATTTTTTGCGATTTCGCACTTGCAACCGAAATACTTTTTTCAAATTTTCAAATTATTTGAACATTTTCTTGAACCTTTTCTTAGCACAAAAGCTTTTCGTAAATCGCCTCCTGCAGTTTAAAGCTTCAAACAAGCTTGATTAAAACATGGCTTTTTTTGCGGGACAATGTATTTTAGTTTCTGCTAATTTTTTTGCCATATATAAGCAACCAGATATGTAAAGTTTGCGCGAAAACGGATTTTAGGCTGTTATGTGCAAATAAAAATTCTGGTTTGCCAGCGCCATCAAACAAAATTCATTTCTTTAGTAGATCGTAAAGCGGAAGTCTGAAGGATTTTCCCGAAATCGTTGACGCACAAATTTCGTTTACACTTGTAACTTCTAAATTGTGGTATGGCTGCTGAAATGCAGTTGTCGTAACAGAAACTGTCGCTTTTTTGTAGATTTTGAGGGAATACCAAACCGACGATCCGCGTTCGTTTGCGTGTTATTCCGATGTGAATTGGACGTTTGACAATTTAATTAACTTAGACGTCAAAAACCTGAACAGAATTTGTTTGAATGTTTTATCGCGATACGTGCAAGAGAAAGGAGACAGATGTGAGTACAATTCACCATTGGAAGATATGGAATATAGCGATAAAAGCTCGGATGAAGAATAATCTGATGGCGACTTGCCGTCCACTAGAAGCGAAATCAGCGCAGAGAAATCGGCTTGCAGCGACGCATCGTGTTCAAAAGCAAACCACAAGAAGAAACGCCAGGAGAAAATCGCATCCTGCTTTTACGTGCAATCAGTGAAAATGCTCCTGCGATTTTTTATTTCTGTATGAATTTCACTGTGAAGCGCTGTAACGTGGTCATGCGACTCATTGTAGTACTCATGGCCTGTCAACCATCTTATTGCAAAAAAATTGCTTCAACTGCCTGTATTACATGTATGTTGCTGTTAATGTATGAACCGTACATAATCGAGATCATTGGTTGCTGTAAGAACAGCAGGTTGAGAAAAAGATTCCGTGCAATATCTTTAACAGTAATCACATTTCATCAAGTCTTCCATTTGCTGGAGCATTTCTCACACATAAGCGGCATACAGAGTGTACCACTCCGAAGTTTATCGTTTACCGGAGATAATCCTTCGCGATTGGCCATTTCCGGGTTTCAGTAATATGATTCCTCAAATATTTCAGACTTCGAAATTCACAACAGAATAAAACAGCGCGATTCGAATTGCGCATTTACCGTACTTGGCTTCGAAATCAAACGAGTACGGTACTTTACTTTTCACCCAAATTTCGGGTTGGTTTACCTATTAACAGCTAATATCAGAACATTACTGCCAGTTAGGACTTCTGCACGATCACAAACCACTGACAAAGTCAATGCCAATAACGGAAACCAATATCGGCTAATGACATCGCACATGGTTTTAAAACAAGTTCGCAGTTTCGTAGTACAACATGTACATTACGGTACATATTAACACCAAGATACAATCATAATATGTGCGTTGGTTGAAATGTGATGGTTGTCTAGTCTGTATAGCCTATTTGCTGTAAACAAGCGTAGGTGATAACATCGAACTTGCGCTTTGATCAGTCCGATGCTCGAAGTTGACTTTCTATGTTTATGCCGATGATTGCTTTTGACGCAGTATTCTGCCGTATGTACAAGAGCAAAGGAAATTGATGGATTGGCAGGAAACTCAAACGCGATATCCACTAACCAGCTGCCACGCATAGTGACAGACAGACTTTTAATGATTACAAATATCTAAATGTTTCTCCGAAAAATAAACGCTCTATGCAATTGGCGGCATCCCGATGCACTCCAAAGCTGTAACGAATGGCAGTTTCCTATTTGAAAAATTGAAAGCGCAACACAAAATGCCGGAAACGCGCTAAATACACTGTTTTTATTGGATAGTATCAGTAAAAATGCCGTTATTCTATACAAACAATAACGAGGAACAGTAGTTCGGTTCTCTACTAGACCGTTGAAATTCAACCACCAAAAGAAATAACAATGTTGCCAAACCAATGTTGCAGCACAAACACAATGGTATTCATGGTACTATTGGTACAAATTATGGTAAGTACTATTGCTGATTGTCAGTAAAATTTCCATTAGCTTAGGCACACACTACACATTTTCAAAAATAGCGTAAATGACGCGAATGTTTGAAGTAATCGAAGATCACCTCCAGGAAACTCACAGTATCCCCTGTTTGCGTCGAACGGTCCACCGCGCGCTGCAACGCATCATGTGCTTCACGGAACGCCCTCTTCGCTGCATCCATCCCGCGGTGCGACGGAGCGGCGGCATCCCGACCGGACTCGACCGGATCCTGGATGCTCAGGGAAAGGCTAATTTCCCTAAAGCCCAATTTACGCCGCATATCCGACTTCGATATGATCGCACCGTTTCCCGTCACGATAATGGCTTGCTTATCGAAATCAAATTCTGTGCCGTAGTACTGGAGGAATCGCAGCAGTAAGCGACCCAGGTTGTCGCCGGTCGCCTGGTGCTGGAAGAAACTGATGGTCATCAGAGTGACCACGTAGGAACTGACTCCGCCGCGGTAGACTTCGTGGAGACTGCGGCGGCGCAGGTACTCCTTAACGACAGTGACAAGTTTCGGCAGCAGCGGATAGCGACTGATTGCGGATATGATCCAACTGGAATTCGCCACGCCCTGGGGTTGATTATAATGATGCATGGATGCGTACTACAAGCACAGCTCGAATGATTCAGCTCTACAGGATACCCGCATTCTCTTAGTCAGTCAGTTTTACTGTTGAAAATGTTGTTGAAGTTTAATTTTGTAGTCCAAGTTATAGTTTTTCGGAGTCTTATCTTCATTTCGATTCATAATTATTACAGTAGCAACCAGACACTACTGCTACAAAATCAAGTTATGAGGTACTATCGAAACATTCAATACCATCGTTAGCGTTATTGGTTTCGTACAATGTGGGAACCAAAAATTACTGAGCCTACAACGCCTACTGTATCTGCACTAAAAGTAGTTTCAGAGCCAGCACAAGGCTCTTCGCAGCAACCAAAAGCGCCCGGCTCCTTGAAAACGAAGAAAAGCCGTCAGATATTGTGCGCGCATTAGGGCATTGGACGGCTTTTAAACGTGTCTAAATACGGAAGTAAATCGAAAAAGAAAAAATAGTTTGTGTTTGCAGAGTCAGATAGCACTTCATTCTTCATTGAACTTTGTACAAGCTAGCCGCATCGCATCCACCTTTCCGTCTGACCATTGTCGGCGTCGACTGATCTAACAATGTCGCCTTTGAGCACATTCAGCCTCATTGCGCGATCAATGCATGCCGCCAGGGCCAGCGGAAGAAATGTAAAAATTCCCATATAAAAAATGAAAATCGGAACAGGCGCAACGGCGCCATTGTTTTCGCTAACGAAGGCCTCGTCTGCCGCCACTGCTCCAGCAGAAAGGTGTACATGCCGCATATGCCCGGCAGAATGGTGGACACAGATACCGATGCGCTTAATTCCACCCGACTTTTTCACACACATACGGTTTGAACATACAACAAGGACAAAAATATATTTTATCCGTAATTCTATCCAGCGGCCCGGCAGCGGGCAGAAGTAATACGGCGCTTTCTGTTATTTAATTTTCCCAATGTCCAAATCTGTAAAAACACCATAATACCGGAACGCAAGAATTCTTTGCTGGGGAAACATAGGGAAATAAGATGAATGGCAGTTAAGAGTTATGAGCATATCTGTGCATGCACTGATCTTACAATGGGCGTGAATGCACTCAATGGCGTTATTGCCAGATCACTTGACCCCGACAGCGGTACGGCAAAAAGGTGACAGATTGGTGGGTCTGTCGTCCACCTTTCTGCCAAGTTTGGCAGGAAGGGCGGATACAGTCCGACAGATTGGTGGACGACGTATCCTACAGAGTACAATCTGCCGGACTGCGGCAGGAAGTTGGGTCCGATTTCATTGAACAGTGAATACCCACTATCAGTACATCTGAACTTCCTGTCGGGTATATGCTTTAAACGCAGAGTTTCCACACAATTACAGCAGTACAATGCGAACTGCGACCAGAACCACCTTGCCGGGTAACAATAGCACCTTTTAAAAGACATGAACGTGGGATAGCCACCATGCCCCTGAGGGCATTCCAAGGGGGAGGCCCTCATGAACAACAACTGCGAATATAGAATAAAAGCTCTCAATGAAAATTTCGAGGGAAACGCAGATGTTTACAGTTCACCGCAGATGCGCTGTACAATGACTATACATCGTTCAAAGTTATTATTAACGCAATGTAACTGCAAATTAGAAGCCTGGATAAAAAAAACTGTTCAAAACAAACTTAACAACCCAAAACACAGGTTTTTCCGTTCCTCAACCTTCGCCAAAAGAGTCTTTACAATTACTTTCATAGCAGCTACTTTCGACCTCTGGATGCGATTACGGAATTTTACCGATAGATCCAGGTTCATTCCCGTAGCCACATCCACGAACTTCAGCAGCGGAACTTTTGTTTTGGTCACCAGTTCGCTGCATTTCACGTCTGCATTATGTCGTTGCATCGCCACGTAACAACCGCGTAACCATGCAGCAGGGCCGCCCGGACCGCTCACCACGGCCACCACGTCAATATCGCTGGTAGGCAGTAGCAAGCCCGTGAGTGTGCTGCCAAAATACTCCACTTTCACGCCAGGATACTCCGCCGTAATGATGCGGGTGATGCGCTGGATAGCCGCTTGTCGGTTGCTCATTTCTTTGCCGTCCGCATGAATTTTGTCGTGGAAGGCTTCGATTTCCTCGTGCAGTCCCTGCACTCCGGCACTGCACTTCCCCACTGCTGCATCCGTCTGCAATTCGAAAGCGAGGATCTATCTGAGCCTCTGAGGTTCTCCCTTGCTCCCTTGCACGTGAGATCAGAATCATCAGATTAATGATTATTCTGATGGATAGATATTTAGCAGGGTCACTCTAGCGACCGCACTGTTCGTCCTTGGCGACCTTGGCTCACTGTCGTATCGTAAGTGTCGCGACGGTATGATACGCGGGCATTAAATTCAAAACAGAAAGACTTGCTTATGATGCTTATCGTTGGTAAATTAAATTGGGTTTGCGAATTCAGTACTCAGCAGTCAGCACTAGCAGTGATTTGCTCTGCACATCGCGCTGCCACGCTTGGGAGGCTGGATTTAGTCCATCGGCTGGGGGCGGTTAGAATATGCAGGTTTAAAATGTTCTTTGTTTGTAAATACAAAATGTTTGAAAATATGTAGGAAATAAACTTACGGAGTGAAAGGGCTTATTTAGGGCTCGAAATGAGAAATGAACTGCCAGTGTGTCATTCCTTAAAGTTCCGAAGGTGTTGCTGCTTTTCTTAGGCTCTCGCGCTCATTTGGCAAGAGCGAACCTTTACAAGCTGAAGAAACAACAGGAAATAATATCGACGAGCTAATCCTACCGGAAACGGCACCTCAGTAATTTTTTCCTGCGCCTGTGCCCTTGCCAAGGGCCGGCAGTCAGTAAAAGGCTTATAGCCGCTTTCTTCTACAGTAAATTGCCAGCATTGTTTTGTCGACTACAAGCGAAAGGACATAATGTTCGTAAAAGTTATTTACACTGCTGATAAGCCGAGCATGCACAGAAGTACCACATTGATTTTAGAACTCCATCAAGTAGTTATAGGCTGCGCTTTGTAATCACGATGATGACTGATGACTGACATATCAGGGTCACGATACACTGTTACTCTGTGCAATACCGCAACCAATTAGTGAAGAAGTGTTCAGCACTGCTCAGTGTTGACCGTTTCATCCGTATATATAAGATCGCTGGTTCACGTACTTTCCATAAAGATATGCAGAACACTGTTGGGTACTGTTGGTTGTTCAGAAGAGCTAGAAGAGTTGTTTTATTTGTTTTAAATATTCAGTATTTGAGTTTTAATAGTAAATGGCTTTTGCTTGTACAAGGTTGAAATTAAATAAAAACCAAAATTCAGTTCTTCTTCATGTTTTCGCTAACTGTCAGGTAAGGTTGAGTTATGTTCTTTAGTTATTCCGTCGGCGCTTATTTAATGCTTTCCAGAGCCGTCGCGAGGGGGGTGGCGCCCCCCCCCCTCCCGGAGGGAGAAAACGAAAAAATGGTGCGCCGGGAGCTGGCGTAACTGGCGCTGGCGCGAAAAAATGGGACTGGCGCTCGAAAATTGCAACAGAAAAGCGTAGAAAAGTGGCTTTTTTGAGCCACTTTTCTACGATTTTTTTCAATTTTTTTCCGGGCGCGCCCCCCCCCCCTACCCTCGGACCTCGCGACGGCCCTGATGCTTTCTATCCTTATAGGCAAGCTCTTCAGCCTGTCACATTTTGCTGTATACAGTAAAACCTGCATGCTTTGAACACCTTCGGCTCCAAAATTTTCGTTCAATGTAGACGCCTGTTCAGTGTACAGAACAGCTGCCTCCAGGGGGGCCGCTCTCGGAGACAGTGCTTCTGCGTTCTAAAGCTGAGTAGATACCCCTCCGCTTATAGCGGGCCACCCACCGGGCGTAGGTAATTAGGGGGTAACTTACCGGCCGTTGCAACGGTTGGGGTTAAAGGTCAACTGCCCCCTGGACAGCGGCACCTGGCGTCGCTTATTAGTGTGCGATCAAGCGTGACGCTAGTGTGCAGCGGTGCGTGACACATATGTTAGCGAAACTGTAATAAAATAATATATATATATATATATATATACAATATATGTACAAGTACTTAATATAGTACTTAATATAACAATACTGTGTACTGTCTATGACAACCGCTGACCTTTCACCAATGACATTCGGCCGCTGGCTATTAAATACCGGTGCCAAAAAATCAGTCGATCGGTCTTATAAAATTTCAAATTTTATAAATTTTAATCCGGTGAAAAAGAAGATGACAATCTTCTCTAAATACTTAACGGCCAACGAAAGGGCCGCGGTGGGTTTCCCTCATGTGATGGCGAACTATGACGCCTTCTACACATACGTAGAACACCTGGATGCCGACGGCCGTGAACAAGTGGTAAATAAATTAAATTAATATATTAATTCATTTATTTATAAATTTTTAATATATTACATAAATATTTATTATATTGTATATACAAAATATTTTAACACCGGGATGCGTAGGTGGGAGTGCTCGGTGAGCTCATGCGGGCAAACTCAGCGATAGGCCGCTATTTCCGGACGCGATCAGAGCTGGAAGCCGAGATCGCTGAGCTGGGCGCGACGGTGAGCAGAATCGCCGGCCGGAACGGGGACGCGCTCGATCGCGCCGGAGAGGAGGCGGCACTGCTCGGCCAAATTGACCTCGAACCGACACCCGCACGCCGCCGCAACTGCAACAGTGACCCCAGCTGGTCACTCAGCTGGATACTGGCATACTTGTCCGGGGAAGTGCGGCGGCCGTCGGCGAGGGGGGATGGGAGCGTGGTCCTCGTGCCCAACATGGGCGCCGCGGTGAATCAACAGAAGAGACGCGAGAACTGGAAACATGTTCTGGGCAGCGTATGGCGGACTGCCCGGAACGTCGTCCTGAAGCGTCCGCCGCGGCGCCCATACGCTGAGGTGTTGGACCAGCTCACCAGAAAGGTGGAGGAGGTTGCCCGCGTAGATCGCCTGGCGGATCAGATCAGCGTGCGCCGGACCGATTTTTTTGCCGTGTTCACGCTGGGGCTGGTCGGACTGTCCACGCTCAATCAGGTGCGCGCAGCAGCAGATGTTTTTGTCACCTTCGTAGATGGTGAGCTCGCGCGCCCTGAATAATATTTTATTATTATAATAATTTCTAGTCAAATTAATATTTTTATTTATTTTTTATATTATTGTGATATTACGTACTCTAGTCATAAGATTAATTATTATATACTGTGTTATTAGTTTTTGTGATACTACCATTTTTACTGTGTTGTTCTGTGATATTAAAGCACTTTAAAGTATGTACGAGTAGTTTCCTTAACAACAAAAAGAAAAAAATAGAAGACCGGGAGTTGAACACGGGACCTTGCGGTAAAAAGTAGAATACACAGTACACTCGGCCACTATACAATACTAAATTGCATTGCTATATTTTGCGAACGGCGTGAAAAGGAAAACATAATAAAATTATTAAAAATAACTGAAAGTACACAGTACTGTATACGTAACACCAAATGTATCGCAAATGCAGAATTATTACTGCACATTCGCACGTATTAATTTCAGGATTAAATCAGGAAGAGTTCTGATCCTGAAATTAATACGTACGAGTGTGCAGTAATAATTCTGCATAGGCAAAAGTCCGCAAATCAACCGCGGCCGTACGCAATACACGGTAGTACGCTCACACCTTTATTATTTCGCGGGTTGGTGGTACGCGGGTCCGGTGGCGGTGTGCGGTATCGGACGGTGTGTCGGTGGACACTGCGGAGGGGATGGTCTTACATTCATGACCATAATCATATTGAATATGATCATAATCAATATGATCATGGTCATGAATATATGGTCGCCGTGCGGTGATTCGGCAGGGCAACTGGCGGTATACAGCCATGAAATCATAATTATAAATTATGATTATATCGTTCATAATTTATAATTATGATCTCACGGTTGCGTATTGGTGTTCGCTGTCGCAGCAGTCCTCCATCCGTGCAAAGCCGTACGGGCATATGGCAGCACATCCGACGCGGTTCGCTGTGGCATTTAACACGAACACAAATTCATAGTTGGAACTAAAACTATGAATCTATGTTCGTGTTTAATAACACAGAACCAAAATAATATTGGAAAACAATAACAGTAGTATGTTGTAGTGAAAAGTAGATTTAACCCTGCACCAACCGTTCATACTAAAATTAACCCGCGTAACACCCGGACGGTCGCACAGACACGGCCACGCCCACCAATTCTGTGTTCAACCAATAAGAGTGTTTGTAGTGAGAAACACTAGAAAACGACGAAAATAACGGTTTTAGTATTTTGTGTTGTACTGTAAATGTCATTTAGCAAAAATGGAGTATTCGTACTTGGAATTTGTCAGTAATTTACCCGATAGGGAAACGCAGTGGTATACACTGGGAAAGGCTGTAGCGGCTTTCGTCCAACCGCGTAAACGCATTGTATATCTACAGCAGATTATGTCATTTTCGGATTCCAATAAGCACATTGCCAGAGAATACGGGATTAAACTTGGGGCGTTGGAACTGGCGCAGATCCTACGTTTAGAAGATAACCGAACCATGCGGAAAACCACCGACGCACGGCTAAAGGGACCTCAGCACATTACTTTGCTTGGAAAATCTGGCACTGTCCTAACTATTTATCCCCCGTATTATCCGGATGAAATCAACGATCCAATTCTCGGAATTCGGCAAGGGCACAAGAATATTAAAATGCGCTTAATGTCTTTTCAGCTACTTATGCTTGAAATTGAAAAGACGGACTTAGGATTTGATTTGCCGTTAGGAACGGAATGCCCAGAAGACTGGGATGACGTTATTGTTCCTATGCTTTTATCTGAATGCTCTATGTAAACGAACGTAACGGTCTCAACGCATGAATATTATTCAAGAATAATAATAATGATCTCACAGCATGAATACTGAATAAAGAACAACAACGTGGCAATTTGGTGCACGATACATAATACACTGCTGAACAAGCAACACATAATTAACAGAATAAGCAGACACGATATGCATCGATAAGAATAACTAAACACGGATATTCATTTCTTTTTTAAATGCAGCAATT